GGATAACCACAATTAAACTTTTATACAATGTTCGATTATTTATATTTGAACAAAATAATTTTGTTCAAATTATTAAGATTGACCACATATTAAATGTTCATACATAAAAAATTGAACATTTTAAGTTAGTTTGATTAAAATAAAATAAATTAAACTTTTATTCATTGTTCAAATATAAATTTTTGAATACATTAAGTTTGTTTAACTCTGTATTCTTGAACATGACCAATTTGATGAATTTGTTAAATTTCTTACAAAATTCTATACCCACTCAATATAGCAATGTTAAAACTAATTGTGTTGATGACTACAAAAGTGAATTTGTTACTAAAGACGTACACTTATGTTTCATCATCTTCACCATTAACATACACTCATGAATTAAGGGTGAGAATGACAATCTGAAATGACGACGAGAAACAAAAGTTCAACATCGACAATGAAGATTAACACCGGTAAAGATGGAGGCCAAATAAAACACTCAGCCAGTGATTTGAAACTACGAGACAACGAGATTAGAGACGACGAGATGAGACATGACGAGAGTTCAATACCAACTATGGAGATCAACATCGACGAAGATAGAAACCGAATGAAACCTCCGCCTGCGATGGAGATCAAGACCAACGAAAATGGTCTCTGTGTCCTGAAGATTGTAAGGGGTTATTGTTGTGTGTAGTGGTGAAGATAAAGAATTTTTAATACATGTAATGGTGTGTATTCAAATAGTTAGTAGTGTGTTAAATATAAATTTAGTAATAGAAAGTTAAAGTGTGAAATAAGATATTTTTAAACCCTAAAAGTTATTTTGTGTATACTAAAGTAATAGTGTGCACTGAGAGTACTTGTAGTGTATAAATAGAATCACCCATATTCATATCATGATAACATGTATGTCCATAATAATGTGGCTATTCATAACATACCGATGCAGACATGTTCTGACATTAAGAAATTTAACAACGAATACATGCTGCATATTCACATGCTGTATAAAAAAATCGAATGTTCAACTAACATATATAAACATTCGTCAAGAAACTGAAGTTTGATGTTCAGTTTCTACCAATTAAAATTGTTTGAATAAAAAATCAAACGATTGTGGATAGTCTATGCACACTGACATTATCACACTGTTACATACATACTACATGTGTATTTTTTTTTTTTTTTTGATCAGCAAAGAAAAATTTCATTTAACAGCATGAAATTAAAGGTACAGGAAGATGACATGCATATTAAAGGTACTTCCGAATCATACTACATGTGTATTTTCAGATACAAAAATGATATGTGCAGGTTTAATATAAATTCTTATGCTAATAAAAAAAATCAAACAAACAGTTAAATTCTCCAGCAATTTAAAGATAGAAAACAATTCTGTGTAGATTTGATGCAAGGCTATAACAAATTTGTAGCAATCACACCCTTCCTTCGTTTTGAACTAAAATCAATAGAAATTGTAGAAAAAAATTATCGCACAACTTGTTTAGAATTGTGATCTCGAACCTACCATAACGGAACATGCAAAATAGAAACATATGTGTGAATATATGACATATGTATGCCAAGGGATGAAAAAATATTTTCAATGGAAAAATGACCATAAAAAAATCTCAAATATGAAAATTGGTAATTTGGTAAATTAAATCTTCTAAATAATAGGATTTATTTAAATATAAGAATATTTATAGTACTAATTGGGATACGACATTTATTATTAATTCATGTATTATGCAATAAATAAAGGGAGACTTACGTATAAGTCTTAATAGGTATACTTTATTATCCAATAAGCCCTTTTATTGAACACTGTAAAAAACATCGTTAATTATTAATTTTCAGCGACAATTTAAAAATTTTAACACAAAAAATGTCACTAATTATAAGTTTTAACGACAGTTTAAAAAAATAGTCACAAAAAATTCACTAATTTTCAACTTTCAACGACAGTTTGAAAATTTTATTACAGATAAGCGTCATTAATTGTAAGTTTTAGCGACAATTGTAAAAATCGTGACCAAAAAAAAATACTAATTATTAATTTTTAACGACATATGCAAAAAATTGTCACAAAAATCATTTTTAACGATGATTTTATTAGGACTTATTTTTAATAAGACTTGATGGAAATTAAGTCCAACTATTAAGACTTATTGGTAGTTTTAAAAATCTGAAGCATGTCTTATTTTAATTTAAATTCATTGTTAATTCATGTATTATGCAAGATTTATTAGTTTTTTTTTTTATTATTTATTTATTAGTTTACTCTCAATTTTAATATGAGCTATGCTTCCTTCCAGTCTATTAGATGGTGTTGTCTGGACCCATAAAGTCCATTACAGATCCCATCTCAATGACTTAAATCGTTAATTTTGTAAAATTATTCGTATATATTATTTATAAAAAAAAATTGAGTCAATCTAATAATCATAACATATTTAATTTTTTTTTTCTCCAAAAAATGGACGAAAGGTGTATTTTTAAAAATATATCATCTACTATTTTGACAAACATGAGAAATTGAAAATAGCTTATGATTATATTATTGATCTAATTATGTTTGTGGGTGATATATACAAAAAGTTTAATAAAATAAATTATTCAATTTACCAAAATAAAACTCGTGCATTAGGACTGCAAATGAATCGTATTGTTCATAAGCTTAGCTCAACTCGTTAAGAGTTCAGCTTGATTCGGTTCATTAAATAAATAAACGTGTTCGAATTTGACTTTTAGGCTCGATTAGTAAATTAGCCGAACTCAAATTTAAATAAACCTAATTCATTTATCTTTATTTAATTTTTTTGTAAATAATAATAAAAAAATTTCATTATCAAGCTCAAGTTTGGTTAATATTAATGAGCTTAGTAATTCAGCCAAACTCAAATTAAATAATCAAGTTCAATAAACAAGTCGAATTTGGACTCAACAAATTTTGATTCAGTTCTATTCGTTTGGAGCTCCATGATCTAAATAATCTCTTTAATAATTAGAGGAATATATGTGGACCGTTTCCGCGCCAACTGGCGAGTACGCAATAGTTATGTAGGGCCTCGTCTGTGAATGTGCGCTGGATGAGGTACCACGTCAGTAGCAACTTGCCGGGAAAATTACAAATGGCATTGAAAGATTATTCGGTAAATTACATTGACATCCCTGAAATTTAGTTTAATTACATTTTATTTTTTGACGTTTTGAAAATTATATTTTTACTCCTATAGTTAATAGTCTCATTTCAAAAACCCCTACTTATATAAAAGATAACAATTTTTAGTAGAAAAACAGAAAAAAATTATATTTTTAAAAAATAAAGCAGAGGAAAGAAAAAAAAAAGAAAAAAAAAAGAAGAAATAAAGCAAAACAAGAAAAAAAAATGTATGAATTCAATATTTTCATTCCGTTTAAATAATTACAATGATTAGAGGATTAGTATAATTTTTCAAACGTTAGCGATAATATGTATTAAACTCTAAACTCTAACCTTAGGGATGTAAGTGTAATTTACCCAAGATGATTTATATTTTCATAGTGAGACAATATTACTATGTACATGGTGCAAATTTTCTATGCGAAAATGACTAGTAGCTTGAAAAAAGTGGCCCGATTTTGGCTCGAATTCGAATTCAAAGACAGAGAAGAGGAGAGAGGAAGAAGAGAGGAGAAGAAAAAGAGGAAGAGTGAGGGAGAAAGAGAAAGGAGGAGAGAAGATCATCGCAGCACCATCGCCGTCGCCTCCAGCCTCGCCTCCGCCTCCTCCTCCCCCTGTGATTATGCCCCCTCCAGTCCTCCTCCTTCCTTCTCTTCTCCTTCTCTTCTTCTCCATTCTTCTTCTTCTTCTTCTTCCTTTTGCAACAAAAACACAGAAAAAAAAGACACCAAAATGACGTCGTTTTGGTGTCGAGCCAAATTCGGGCCAAACTCTTTTGAGCTACGTAGCGGGGTCATTTTCTATGTGTATGGTACAAGTTTTCACAAAGAGTTATACCCCAAAAAATTATATCCTCATGCGTTAAAATAGTTACAAAAGATAAAAAAAAGTTAAAAAGTCAATAACACAAAATATCATATACAAATTATAGTTACAGTATTTCATTTTTTCTCTTACAAATGTCAAAAAAAATTAAAAAATCTAACTCAAACAAGACTTTTGGCTTTTTTTGACAACTCGGTTAAAAACAACTTTTTTTTGGTTTTTTTTTCGACTATTTTAAATCATATCATCTCTTTATTTTTTAAAATATCTTTAAATACAAAAATATATATATATATATATATATATTTTTAATCTATATATATATATATTTTTAATCTGCTTCTCAAAAAAAGCTAAAAAGCCACCGCCCTCCCGAAACGAAATCTCTATGTACAGTTTATTCTCTGTCCCACTTATTTGCATTTTCTCACAACTTGTTCGAGCTCTTCTCAAAATTCCAGCCTCTAAAACAGCGCCATGTGTACTTTATTTTGTCTCTCTCCTGTCTTTTCAAAGCAAATGATGCACACGAATAACAGCATATTTTTCAGCTTGTAAGAGAGAAACAGAGAGACGTGGACAGTTCACTCATTGGTTGGCTTGGACTTTGGAAAGGCTAGATGAGAGAGAAATATCTTTACAGCTATTGATTTGAAGAATCAGGATTCTCTCCTTACCTTTTTCTCCTTATATTTTCTATTTACAAGTGTAATGGGCTTATTTTTAGGTCTAATTTTGATAATTCGAATCGTTCATATTTTAAGATTTGTTGAGTATATCATATTTGTATAAAATCAAGTTGATTGGATATCAGAAAGCATGTGTTCGGAAAACTGTTTATTAAATTCTTTAAAAAAATAATTTTTAGTTCGAGTTTTCTGAACACATATTTTCTGATATCTGATCAACTTGATTTTTTTACAAGTATAATATATTAACAAATTTTAAAATATAAACAGTTAAGATTATCAAAATTAAGCTTAAAAGTAAGCCCAATGGGCTTACAAGTAGGAAACGCAGTGAAAAAATGCAAGGATGGAATCCTCTCTCTGATTTGAAGGCAAAATGGAATGCTCTCTCAACAAATATAAATTGATTGATTGATATAAGGAAGGAGGGGAGGGGAGGGAGAGTAAGTGAGAAAAAGAAAACAGTTATTATTGTTGTAAGGAAAGGGTGTTTGGTGATAAACAAACATGGAAAGGTATGAGATTCTGAGAGACATAGGATCAGGGAACTTTGGTGTAGCCAAGCTTGTTAGAGACAAGAAGACTGCTGAGCTTTACGCTGTCAAGTTTATTGACAGAGGCCACAAGGTCTCTATTTTACTGTTTTTTCTTTCTTTCTTTATTTATGTAGATGGGTTTCGGTTTCCATGGGTTGATTGATATGTTTTTACAGATTGATGAGCATGTGCAAAGGGAGATCATGAACCACAGATCCTTGAAACACCCTAATATAATACGATTTAAAGAGGTATCTATCTCATCTATCCAACCAAACCAAACTAATTATTGACACATTTGTAAATATCATCTCTCTCTCTCTCTTGATATTGCCATATTTATTGGGGAATTCATAAAAGGAGGGCTTATATCTTTTTAATTAATTGGTTTTCTAGAACAGTAGTGTTAGAATTAATTCTCCCTCCATAATACTGTACAACTCAAATTTTGAAGTAAAATTTTCTTTAGGTTCTCTTTCTCTTTCTTTTTCTTTTTTTTTTTGCCCCTTTCCTTTAATTTTTTGGTTTCTTATTAAGCTTTTTGGGGTTAGATTCTAAGAATCCAATTCCCATTTGCAATTTGGAGATGACCTGTTCTTTGAATTTTATAAAAATAAAAGTCCGTATTTCATTTTAAACTAAGGTCAAGTTTGGCTTAAACTAAAAAAGTGCACTTATTTCATCTTTTTATCTTTTTTAGGTCACATCAATCAACATCTCCGCTCTGCTTTTTCTACACATAATACAAGAAAAGTCAAAAAGTGCACTTATTTAGTCTTTCCAAACTTGGCCTAAATAAGTCAGTTTAATGATAAAAGGAAAACTTAAAACACTAAAATAAACTCCCGTAGTCTTCTCAATATACATGCCTTTTTTTCTTTTCTTTTCTTTTTCCTTCTTTGTTTTGGAACGTACAACTTGTATAACATATATATATATATATGTGTGTGAATAAGTAAAAGAAGGAAAAAAATTCTATACACCGAAGTGAAAGATATAAGAAAAATTATTGCATCACCAAAGTAGTTAAAGGTGCAGATGTGGATCCAGTGGAAGTTGCTGCCATTTGATTATGTAATAGAAATCATTAATAGGTCCCTTAAGATTTATGTAAATCTATGCTCCTCTCTGCTATGTGTGTGAATAAGTAAAAGAAGGAAAAAAATTCTATACACCGAAGTGAAAGATATAAGAAAAATTATTGCATCACCAAAGTAGTTAAAGGTGCAGATGTGGATCCAGTGGAAGTTGCTGCCATTTGATTATGTAATAGAAATCATTAACGTTGTGTTTGGTTGGGGGTTTTGGGAAGGGAAATGGAAATGAAAGGAAAAGGAGAAAGAATTAATAGAATTCCAAATCCCAACTATGTTTGGTTGTGTTGGTTATAAAATAGAATTGATGTCCTAAAAGGTATCCTATTTCTTTATTTATTTCTCACCCCCTTTCTTTTCCCATATATTTTTTATTATAACCAAACATAAATAGGATTACATTTCTCATTCCCTTTCCAAATCCCACCTCAAAAACTCCAACCAAACACAGCATAATAGGTCCCTTCAGATTTATGTAAATCTATGCTCCTCTCTGCTACTTGGAGAACAGGACACTTTATTTCTTTAGTTTTTGCTTTCAGCTAAAGCATTAATTAATTAAGATCCATTATTCCATGTATTGAAAGAAATTAATGCCGAGGGAAAGGAAATCTTTTGTATCTCATCTCAGGTGCTGCTAACACCCACTCATCTAGCCATAGTCATGGAATATGCAGCTGGAGGTGAACTTTTCGAAAGAATTTGCAATGCTGGTAGATTCAGTGAAGATGAGGTAAATTACAAAACTACAAATGACATTTTTCCTCCTCTTTTCCATTCCACTTGTAATGCTTGCAGTCTATCTAGATCATCAATTATTTTGCTTTTTTTTTTTTTAAAGGTTAAATACAGAAAACCACTATTCCATGGCATTGAAAGATTTGAAACAAATAGAATACATGCTTAAGAGCCAATCCATAGGGGGCTTTGCCCCGGCTTTAATTGGGCCCTCGCTACTGACAGTGGGATTAGTCCCTGAATTAGTCGGTCCATTGGACTGGTTACCGAGTTATCAAAATAAGAGAAAAATGCTTAAGAGCCAGTTCCCAGCCAATGGAATGACATTTCTATTGCACAATATGGATTGGTAGCATAATTTGGTCCTTTAACTCCTTTGGATTGCAAGTTGTACCAACATGGGTTTTGGATACTAGACTAACTCCCGTGTTCTGATCAAATAATTTGAATCCCTATTTTTTTTTTTTTTAATAAAAAATGCGGTTTCCTTATACCAGTTATGTATATGAATGTTCATTTGGTTCAGGCAAGATTTTTCTTTCAACAACTGATATCAGGGGTCAGTTACTGCCACTCAATGGTAGGCCATCTTAGTTACTTAATTCTTTAATTTCTTGGTGAATAAATTTGCCACAGGCTTGAAATTTTGAAACATCCTTTTTGACTGCAGCAAATCTGCCACAGAGATCTTAAGCTGGAAAATACACTCTTACATGGGAGCTCCACACCACGTCTCAAAATATGCGACTTCGGCTACTCAAAGGCAGTGATCTCGCAAATTAATTCGGCACACCTACCACAATTTATTTGTTTGTTTATTTATTTATTTTTTTGTGTATTTTATTACTAACTGTTCTACCTTTTGTTGTTGTTTTTTTTTCTTTTTCCTTCTTGCAGTCATCAGTGTTGCATTCCCAACCCAAATCTACAGTAGGAACACCAGCCTACATTGCGCCTGAGGTCTTCTCAAGAAAAGAATATGATGGGAAGGTACTACTTGTTATCCCCATCTCTTATTTATTACTTGACTTTAATTTGGACCTAATTTGGTCACCTAATATCCATGATGAAGAATATGTTACCCTTGATATCAACAGATTGCAGATGTTTGGTCTTGTGGGGTTACCTTATATGTGATGTTGGTTGGTGCCTATCCCTTTGAAGATGCTGATGATCCAAGAAATTTCAAGAAGACTATTACTGTGAGTTAATTTACTAATTTTAAAAAGACTATTACTGTGAGTTAATTTACTAATTTTAAAATGCCTACTTATTATTGACTTTCCTTGCTTTTCTTTTTCCTTTTTTTTAAAAAAATTTATATATATATATATATATATTTTAAATATGAAACATAAATGGTCTGTGGCAGCGGATACTTAGTGTCCAGTACTCAATTCCAGACTATGTGCGAGTTTCTATGGAGTGCAGACATCTTCTATCTCGGATATTTGTTGCCAACCCAGAAAAGGTCTTATATAACCTACTAATACACATGTCCTTGCTCGAACTAAAAATGTTCGTGCAAACATTTCTTTTGTCCTAGAAGTTATTTGTGCTAGATGGTTTCTTTATCTGTACTGAATTTTCTTTGCAGAGAATAACCATACCGGAAATTAAAAGGCACGCGTGGTTCCTAAAGGACTTGCCAATAGAATTCATGGAAGGAGAGGAAGCTAGCTTGAAAATGAACAGTGCAGATAATGAGTGTCAAAGTGTGGAAGAAGTGTTGGGTGTAATACAAGAGGCAAGTAAACCTACGGAACTGGCAAAAGGTGGAGGAGGGAATTATGTTGGAGGCGGCAGCATGGATCTTGATGACATGGATGATGATGATGATACTGATCTAGATGATATAGAGACAAGCGGAGATTTTGTCTGCGCATTGTGAGTGATAGCTACAAAGTAGAATCTTCTATCATACCATTACCATTCGGTTCCCAAAAGAGGTGCAAAAGAAAAGATTGCCTTGTCCTCCTCATTTGCATTTCAATAATGTTAGCTCAAACGATATCTATTTCAGTTTAATCTGTGTAAGCTTGGTGGGTACCTTTCTTTCAGTTTAATCCGTTTCAGTTCTATCTGTATGCTTTCTTGAGTTGCTGTTCATAGGCGGTGTTTAGTTGAGCCTTTTTTGCTATTGTACCTTTCTAAGGGAAATCCTGCTCTATAATACCAGCTTTGTTAGCTTTTGTAATTTGTAATATTCTCAATTAGCAATGAAACTTTGTTAATAAAAGTCCTTTCTAACTTAGATGGGAAGTTGGCCCCTTTGGTTTTTGTTTTCCATGTTTCTAAAAGCAAAAATAATAATAAGTTCAAAAACACCCATTGTTTCATTTTTTGTGCAAAAATTGTTTCTTGAAAAAAATAAAGTTGGGTTTTCGAAAAAAATTCTTAAAAATAATTTTCAGTAACTACTGTCAAACTACTTTGTTATGTCTTCGAAAATAAAAACAGAAAAGTAAACACTACAATAGGAGTTAGGGACCAAAAAATTGTCCTCAAAAGTGAAAATTTTGTCGAAAAAAATATTTATGAATCGATTCTTGTCATCACAAGGATAGTTGTTAAAAAATTGACCCAAAAGATTTTGAGTAACAAAATTTTGAAAATTGTCTCTAAAAATATACCTTTATGGACAAAGTAATTTGATTCCAAAAAGATTTTATTTTTAGACAAATTTTGATCAAAAAAAGATAGTAATTCATCACTAAATGTTCAATTTCATCGCTAAAATTATAATAATGACACTTTTGAAAATAAAAAATATTTCATTCCTAGAATGTAATTTTATCTCTAAATTTTTTCCTCTAAAATTTTAATTTATGGTAGCAAACGCTTTAGATAATCATCTCACACATATTAAAATCAGTCAACTCTACTGTCTGACATCATGGATTCCACAAAGCATGGTATTTATTATTGTTGTTCAATATTTGAAATAATCATGGATTCCACAAAGCATGGTATTTACTATTGTTGTTCAATATTTGAAATATGTTAATTCTATAAAGTAAGATAAAAGCTTGCATCAGTGTATTAGATCAGCATAATTTAAACAGTTTGGAAGCATTAGTACAACAAATGTATTATGATATTAATCAGTTAGTTTTAGCAAAACATAAACTCTTCTTAGTCGTTGGCATTATATGCGGATACACATACATAATTTAGGGAATCCAATGCTAGTCTGGTTGTTGGAGATTTTTGATTTGATTAGTTCCATTGCTGATTTTTTTAACACCCGCCCAAGTTTGTTTTGGAATTTAAATATCAAAGCCATATAGAAAAGAATTTGCTCCTATCCTAGAATGACATTGGATTTGGTCGGTTGCTACTAATAACGTCATGATATTAGTTAGTTATTGTTGTTTTTTTTTGGCAGTTCGAAAGATATTAATTAAACCAAACAAATGACTAGGCAACTATGAAATGTTTTTTTTTCTCAATGAGGAGGACTTGAATGTTTGTATTTAAGTGAGAACCAATTAATGAGTAGAGAAAATTCAATTTAATAACAGTTAAATAACAAATGACTAGGCAACTATGAAATGTTTTTTTTTCTCAATGAACAGGACTTGAATGTTTGTATTTAAGTGAGAACCAATTAATGAGTAGAGAAAATTCAATTTAATAACAGTTAAATAAAAAATGAGAGGGAGAGATTGAAACAGAAGTGAAGTAATTGATTAACTGAATAATTTAATTACATGGGTAAATTACACTTTGTACCCCTACACTTTGCACAAAGTTTTACTTTGGCCCCTACATATGAAATCATAACAGTCAACCCCCTACACTTTCAGTCAAATCCCACTTTGGTCCTTATACATAAAATCATGACAATAAACCTCCTGCACTTTTGATCAAATTTCACTTTGATCCTTACACAAGTATAAATGTCCATCTTCTGTTACTCAATTATTTAAATTTTTAACAGAATACAATCATGTAATAAGAATATGATTACAAAATGAGAGTAAGAGAAAAATCATTCTTATTTCCCGCAGAGACATATTTTGACTTGAAATTTACATCAAACTATGATTGTATTAGACTTAAAAAAACGCAAATTGTAAACAATTAAGAAGATGAAATAAAGATTTGCATAAATTGGAATCACGAAACTCTGTTTTTCACAGTAATAGTCGTCTGTCTATTCCTTTTCTTTTCTCTTCGATTTCTCTGTTGTCTTCTTCTTCTTTTTTTCTTTTCAAAAGCTCTATTTTCTTACATCTTTGTCCTAATTTTCAATATACGAACATATATATATATATATTGTATTATATCACATGTTTATCACGTATGACAAAGTGTGTATTAGTGAAAAATATAGATGATTTGTTCTTTCTTACCCTCATTTCGTAGTCACATTTTACAACATGACTGGATTTTGTTAAAGGTTTAAATAAAAGATAAGGGGACATTGACACTTGTATAGGGACTAAAGTGAAATTTAACCAAAAGTGTAAGGCGTTGACTGTCATGATTTCATGTGGAGGGACCAAAGTAAAAATTGACCAAAAATGTAAAGAGTTGATTATCATGATTTCATGTGTAGGGATCAAAGTGAGATTTGACACAAAGTGCGGGTATGCAAAGTGTAATTTACCCTAATTACATTTATGTTACCTTAGTTGTTCTGACAATTTCGAAGGTGAAAACTGGTAAAGAAATTACAAGTAAAGGCTACTCTTATGAAAAGTGAAGTGCAAAGCACATAAAGAGAAAACAAGAATTTGATAAATGTAAAATTCGTTCAGGGATCTTCTGTGTCTTTCATTTCAACTATTTATAGGTGCCCCCTCAAATCCACGACAGTTGCGGAGCTCCACCCCCATAACTTCACCATTTTAGCTATATTCATGGGGTTTTTTCCTCCTTGGTTTGTTAATTTGAATTTTGTGCAACATAGTTGCCTCTCTATAACCATCACGATTGAACTTCCTCAGTCTTTCTCTCAAATTAAAAATGCATGGTTAATCTGTTGCTTTATTGCTTGTTCTAGTACAATGGTTGACCAATCACCTAACTTTACCAACATTGAGCAAGATTATGATCTCGCGACAGAAAGTGACAATGTGGAATCTCCCAATGATCATGCTACCATTCCCTATTCTTACCCTGAGGCACCTCTCTAGACTCACAACTTCAGCCTGTTAACCTGGGTAGTCATCCACCTCTACTAGTGTTCCACCACCAGATGAGTCCATCACTTTAGCTCACTTTTCTCCTGAGAATCGAACTCCTTCGAGGCCATCTCCTTCTGGTTGGGATGCCTATGCATCTAGCTCCTCTAAACCTACTTCTACTGGCTGGACCTCGTGGAAGCCATCTTTGAGGCCTACTGCTAACCATAAAGTTCATCATCACAGTTTTAATGTATAGAGAAAGAGAGAAAATAAATTACATGTATTGAATGTATTATTGATGTTTCAGAGAAGACTCTCCTTTATAGGGGAGAGTGTGTACAGAGGGGCCAAAAGTGGCCGAAAGAGACAATGCACTAAGGAACAACATTATGAAAACTGGTTGGTAGACAGCTCATATACAGCTAGCTAATATACTACTAATATATTTTAACATCCCCCTTCAAACTCAAGGAGGATAGGTACAAACAAACTTGAGTTTGGAAAGAGTAACAAAACGTGAAAATAAACTGACAAATAAAATAAAATATGATAGGAGACACTGTATGGTCGTGTCAGACCGTTTGTAGAAGACACTATGTGGTCGTGTCAGACCACATAGGTAGGTACAAACAAACTTGAGTTTGGAAAGAGTAACAAAACGTGAATATAAATTGACAAATAAAATAAAATAGGATAGGAGACACTGTATGGTCGTATCAGACCGTTTGTAGAAGACACTATGTGGTCGTGTCGAACCGCTGTAGAAGACACTGTATGGTCGTGTTAGACCGTTGTAGAAGAGACTGTATGGTTGTGGCAGACCAGTGTAGAAGACACTGTATGGCTCGTGTCGGACCGGTGTAGAAGACACTGTGAGGTCACATCGAACCGCTGTAGAAGACACTGTATGGTCGTGTGGAACCGTTGTAGAAGACACTATATGGTCATGTATATAGGTTGCCCAAAAGATATATATATATATATATATATCGCGCCCTCAAAAGTCGCGCTCCACCTTCAAAAGTCGCGCCCGACATTGTGGCATCGAGCGGCGCATGATGCACGTGATCATGTTTTGTCCTCTTCGTCTCTGTATTGTCTATTTAAACCGAGGCCGAGGCTAGTTAGAGATTGAAAGCAAACCAAAGCGACGAACTTTGCAACCCCTTTCGTCCATTCTACAACACTCTGCTTGTGTTGCCTCTGATATGGTCTCCTCTTCCCATAGTTTGCTCACCCTTTTTCTAGACCTAAACGAGTCCACAATAGAGATAACCGGTTCTGTCGCCCTTGAATTGCAACCAAACGCCCTTGGACCAAGCGCTCCACCTTTTTTTGCTCCGTTGAACTTTCTTATGCTATCAGTTGAGCAAATAATGGCAGCTCAATCTGATATTGAGGCCAACCATTATACGTTGAAGTCATGTATGGAGACCATGACTGCGGTCACTAACTTGCTTCACCAGCTTCAGAATAGGACAAGTGAGGTACAACAGTTAAATGCCCAACTCTCTCTACTGCAACACATGTACAAGGATGCACAAGCAGAGATTTGCACGCTGAGGGCAGAAAACAAGGAGCTGAAACGGAAGGCCACCGTCATGTTCCGATTCGAAGGGCCGCCATATGCTGCGTTGGAGGAGCAGCGGGGAGGCAACTTGCTCGGTGGGCTGGGAAGCACTGAGGCAAGGCCATCAAGTGTCACCCAAGACGAAGGCAAGAGGAAGGGAGCGGCGGTAGAGTCGAGGAAGTGAGGTCGGCGGGTGGCCGTCAGCAGAAAAGAAAACAAATCCTTTGTTGGTGGTGTAGGTGTTTGTATTTTTATTTTTTTATTTTTTTGTTATAGCGCTATCAGTTGGAATGAATGTAGTTTTGTGTTTTGTTTTGTTTTGTTTTTTTTTTTGAAATAATAATAATATATAAAATAAAGTTTTGAAATCCACTGGAATCAATGAAGGCTCATAGAATATATTTTAGTGGTGAAAAGAATGATGGGTATGTTGATTATAAAATAAAATAAAAGTGGGTAGTGAGGAAGATGAGTGTAAAGAAAAGTTTAGTGAGAGTAGTGTGTTTGGTATTTGTTTGTAGCCACGTCTTTGGCAAATCAAACACTTTGGGAAAAGT